TTTGAGCAATGGTCTTGATATATTATAGAAGAATAGTCCATGGTTGTTCCTATGGTTCTTTCTGACTCAAAGTAGGGAGTTGAGACCTTTGACAGGGTGATTAAGTGAACAGCACAGGTGAACATAGGCTTTCTGTCGGTTGAGCATCTACCCACTGTGGGATGATGGCTCTACATAAAGAGACCGCCCCACTTGGCCAAGTGTGCCTGAACTCATCTCAACCCCGCCACCATACTCTCCCTATGACATCAGTAACTAATAACAATCACTCATACAGAAGGACAGTTCTCCTCAGTGTTTCCCTCAGGTCCTGAGAGCTTTTCAATACAATGAGTAGGCAACCTCGGCTATTTATCAAAATACCTGTTTGCCCAGGTCAGCCCAGGGTAAACTGAATTGTATGACATCATTGCTCTGTGCCTCTGGCTGTTTCCTATGTGTTCTGGGGGATGCTCTGGATGCACCAACTCTTTCTATCCTCCCCTGAAGCTCTTTCAGAGTCTGATGCCTCCTCTATGTGTTTTCAGAAGAATCCTTTAGCCACTTCCACAGCATAAGCAACCTTGGAGACCACCTAATTAGGAAACTAATTTTTGTTCATGGTTCCAGAGGATTAGTCCATTATGGGAGGGGAGAGATGGCAGCAAAGGACCAGAGTTGGAAGTTGAGAGATCATACCTCAGCTGCTGACATGAATCAGAGAGCAGGAACTGGAAGTGGGGCAAGGCTATAAATCCCCAAACCCAGTGACATCCTTCTTCCAGTATTTGGGGATAAAGAATTGAAATACCCAAGGCCTCACTGGCAGGGTTCTCAGAAGATGTGGGGCTCTATGCTTATGCTGGTCAGTGGTCTCCAGAGAAGTAAAGTCGACAGGATGTGCTCATATGCTAGTAGGTTGATTATGGAGCAGTGACTCACAGTTATAGAGGTAAATAAGTGCCCAGATCTACAGTAAAGGAGCTAGGGACTCTGGATAGCTTCTGGTTTAGCTCTAATCTGAGTCTGCAGATTGAGAACTCAGAGAAACAATGGTGTAAATGACAATCCAAAAGCCATAATATGTAACTACAGAAGAAAGGTGTATCACCGGAACACAAGGAATAACAGTCATCTCAATGAAGCTGTCCTTTTGACTAGACCAGTACTCAGCTGAGTACAGGAGGCTCACCTCCATGGGGAAGGTTCACCCATTCAAATGTTGTTTATATTCTCAAGCACCATCTCAGACACATCCAAGATAATATTTAACCAAGTGTCTGAGAGTACCCCATTCCCAGTCAAGCCAACATAAATTAGTCAGCACATTGCAGGAGCTGTGTGGGTTACTCTGCCCAGCCCTCACCCAATGGGCAAAATGCTGGATTTCAGCTAGGAACTTTGAGCTGATGGCCCCATTTGGGTCTGGACATTGCCAAAGACTTCACCGTGCCCTGCCGTTCCATGACTGGTGGGGAGCTATGAAGGATGCCTGCCCCATCTCACTCTTGGAGACACTTTTCCTCAGCACATGCTTTCTGTAGCTTATATAATTCTATTGGTCCTGCTCTTTGTTTTTATGCCAATACCAGGGTGTTTTCAGTACTGTACCTCCGTACATTGTTTGAAGTCAGGAGTTGTAAGGTCTCCAGAAGTTTCTTTGTTGTACATGATTGTTTTGGCTATCCTGGGTTTTTTCTTTTCCATATGAAGTTGAATATTGTTCTTGTCAAAGTCTGTGAGGAATTTTGCTGGTATTTTGATGGGCATTGCATTGAATCTGTAGATTGCATCTGGTAAGATTGACATTTTTACTATGTTAATTCTACTTACCCAACAGCATCAGAGATCTTTTAATTTTCTGGTGTTTTCTCCAATTCTCTTCTTCAAAGACTTAAAGTCTCGTCATACAAGTCTTCCACTTGCTTGGTTGGAGTTGCTTTGGTTAGAGACATTTTACAAATCCTGTAGCTCCATACCCAGCATCACTGGGCTTAGCTGGCCCCTCCCTCCCAGCTTTGCTCCCCACACCACACATCCCTCTTGTGCTCCACTGCTCTGTGCAGTTCTCCTTGGCAAACATCTATGGCTCCAGTAAGTCTAACACCTGAGAGTCTCCATGCAACCCAGGCTTCAGTTTCACTGTTTCATGCAATGGCCTCTCAAGGTTTCTAGCATTAGTAGGGTTTTTCTTTCCATATACTACTGCCTGGTCTCCTCAGCCCTCCTCAACCACTGATGAAGGCTCCACAACCCCTTATCCAAGAACCTTGTGGATGATAGTTTCAAGTCTGAATGCCTCCTTGAATCATGATTGCAGGATATTTACTTTACTATTGTTTTTTAAGAACAAAAAGTTGTTTAGGCCTTTCTTCTCACAGGTTGGGAGCTTCCCTGGTGGGGCCTTGCCCTGAGGACACCTTCTCTTTATCCCACTTGGATCAAGCCATTTTTTTTTATCTTTTTGTCTCTTTCAACATAAGCCTGGGTTCCAACATTCAATTTCTCTGCTGCTTTTTTCTCCTTAAACATTTTATATTAATCTTTATCTCACCTGTTCATTTTATTATATATTTGCATAATGGTATCACTTTTAACCACATTAGAAAGTCAGTATTAGCCTGTCATCCAAAGCCCCATTGTCTTCTACATTCCTGCAAAACACAAGGTCAGGCCTGTCAAGCTCAATCCCACTCCCTGGTACCAACTTCCATGTTAATTACTTTTACTTTGCTATGATAAAACACCATGAGCAAAGGATGTCATAAAAACATTCAGTTGTGCTTATAGAGTCAGAGGGTTAGCATCCATGATGACAACAAAGACACGAATGGAAGGAACAGCTTAGAGTTCACACCTTGTTCCACAGTCATAATGAGGAAATAGAGCACAGTTTTAATGGTGTGGGTTTTCCAAATCTCACAGTCCACATCCAATGACACACCTTCTCCACCAAGGCCACACCCCCATTCCTTCCCAAAGGCTTCCACTGATAACAAAGCCATCCATCCTATAGGCCCACAGAGGCCATTCTCCCTCAGACCACCACAGGGCCTATCTTTGTCTGTGAGACCACAGAGGATTCTTAGATATTTGTTTGTTGTTGTAGGCAGGTGAGTCATATGGTTGACACTGTACTTCAGTTGCACCCACGTTAGAAGTCACAAAACTCAGTCTAGCAATGCAGTTCACACACTTGCTCAAGGTCACACAAGGAGAGGGCAAAACATGAAGTAAATGAAAACAACTTGAATGTTATTATTTTCTCTCCTAGTTCGTCCTGAGAGACACAAGCTTCATTTATGGTAGAAAAACCGAGTCCAGAAGATTGTCTTGGAATGTAGGGTGGAATATTGGTTACCAACTGCCCTTCACAAGGAATTCATTTCATTGTGGCTTCTACCCTGTGACTTAGCCCTCTGGAGGGAGCTAAGTTCTTGCTCAGCAAACGTGAGTGCCTTTCTTTCTCAGTTTTACAACACTAACACAGAAGTTCTCAAACTTACCACATCCCAAGTTTCTAGAATTTCAAGGTAATTGTGCAAATCAGAAAACCAGAGGTGCTTTTGTGTTCATTACTTTTCTCATTGCTATGACCAAATACCTAAAGAGAAATGACTTACGATGGGGAAGATTTACTTTGGATACTGACATGAGGTTATTGTCCTTTGCGGAAGAAATACACACCACTGGGAGCAGTTTGTAGCTGTGGTAGCCGGGTGTGAGGCTATTGTTCATATCTTGTGGATCAGAAGGCAGAGAGAGGACATGAAGTGGACATGCCATAAACTCAACACTCATCCCCCAGGACACACTTCTTGTAGCTCGGCCCCATCTCATAAAGGGTTCTACAACCTTTTCCATCAGCACTGTCAGCAGCTGACCAAGAGTTCAAACACATGAGCATGCCAGGAACTCAACGTGTTAAGAGTTGCTTTTTTGAGCATGCTTAATTTGTGCAGAGAAGTCTTTGGCCAGGTCTGTGCTTGCATGCAGAAAGCACAGGTGTCAGACCTACAGACTGTTAAGCTGCATTGTGACATTCTTAGTCATGGAGTCACCCGAGATCAGAGCTGAGCATCTTTGGCAAGATCTGGTCTCATATGCTGAAGGACAAGGATTTTGATTATCCCATCAGTGAAAGGATGCCAGTTTCCAGAGCTGGGACCAACATCTAGAATCCCAAGTCTGTCAGGGTGGAACTGGGGGACAGCAAGGCAGGCTATCCTGTGTGTTTCACTGTAGAAGAATGGCTTTCATTTCTGTGTGCAAAACGAGTTCAGATTTTTTTCTTTTCTTTTCTTTTTCTCTTTTACATTTTCTATATGAATGCTCTGTACAGATGCCTAAATGCCAGAGGAGGGCATCAGATTTCATTATAGATGGCTGTGAGCCACCATGTGGTTGCTGGGAACTGAAATTGGGACCCCTGGAAGACCAACCAGTGCTCTTAACCTCAGGACCATTTTCTAGCCCCTCCAGAGTTTTCTAAACTGTGGATCTCTTCATCTAGCTCCCCTACCTGGCACATTAACTCATATTTTTTTAAAATTTAATTTTTAAATTGTATATATGTGTGGTTTGGTATAATGCAGTATGCATATATAATGTGTACTGTTTACACAGATTCACAGTTCCATTTCCTTAAATATCTTTTTTTCCTTAGGTACTTTTTGGGTAAAATTTAAATGTTTTTACTTTACATATATGGGAATTTTGCCTGCATGTTTGTCTGCCCTCCACATGTGTGCAGTGCACACAGAGGCCAGAAGAGGGCATCAGATCGACTGGAACAACAGATACAGGTGGTTGCTGGCAAGAAGTGCTCCTAACTGCTGAGCTGTCTATCTAGCCCTGTGTTGGGAACCATCAAATATTTTTCTGCTAGTACTTTATAAAGTATAAACTCTAGCCCTGGTGCTAGGTTTGGAACACCAGAACAGAGCCCTCTGATCTCCATGTGTTTGCCTATCTGTTACTCCACCCTCTTGTTGTGGAGACCTGGCAGATTGTCTTTGTTCTTTCAGATGCAGTTCATGAAGATGAGGCTGGTTTATGCTTTCATTCTGACAATGGGTGCTCTTTGCTTGTACTTCAGCATGGAACTTTTCGAAGAACTTCCAATTGTTCTCAAGAAAGGTCACGGGAAGTTCCTCCAGCTCCCAGATATTGACTACAAGCAGAAGCCCCCTTTCCTTGTGCTGCTGGTGACTTCGTCCCACAAGCAGCTGGCGGCTCGCATGGCCATCCGCAAGACGTGGGGTAGAGAAACAGAGGTGCGGGGGCGGCGTGTAAAGACCCTCTTCCTCCTGGGGGCCTCAGACAGCACCGACGAGATGAATGCCACAGCCCAGGAGGGCAAGCAGCACCGTGACATCATCCAGAAGGATTTCAAGGACGACTACTACAACTTGACCCTGAAAACATTGATGGGCATGGAATGGGTCCACCACTTTTGTCCTCAGGCAGCTTTTGTGATGAAGACAGACTCAGACATGTTTGTGAATGTTGGCTATCTGACTGACCTGCTGCTAAAAAAAAACAAAACCTCCAGGTTCTTCACGGGGTACATAATGTATGATTACCCTCCCATCAGGGATACAATCAGCAAGTGGTTTGTGAGTAAATTTGAATATCCCTGGGACACGTACCCACCTTTTTGTTCTGGTACGGGTTATGTCTTTTCTAGTGATGTGGCCAGTAAAGTATACAGTGTCTCAGAGAGTGTCCCATTCTTCAGGTTCGAGGATGTGTTTGTCGGGCTCTGCCTGGCCAAGCTGAAGATACGGCCTGAGGAACTCCACACAGAACCAACCCTTTTCCCAGGAGGCTTATACTTCTCTGTGTGTCGCTTTCGTAAAATTGTGACCTGTCATTCTCTGACACCCCAGACATTACTCACTTACTGGAAGAAACTGGAGAACTCTCAGAAACAGTACTGCCCTTCTTAATGTTGATGGTATCCACAGTGCAAACTTCCAATAACCTTTGGCGATACTTTGTGGAGGTCTGAGATGGCCTTGCTGGGAACTGTCAGGGTTAGAGAGAGGAGGAGGAAAGCAAAGAGTGTTGTTCTCAATGCCCTGCATGTACTAGAGTGGATGTACACACACACAGGTCAAGACTCATTCCCACTTGGCACCCAGAGCAATAACAGATCTCATCTATCAGACTTTTGCACTATGTTCTCAATGTTTGAGACATGTCTTCATCTGCTCATTTCAGGGCTCAGTATATATATGAAGCCATGGATGTGATCATTAACATTTTACAGGTTAAGAACCAGTAGCTATGGTCAATTACTTGTTCAAAGACTCCCAGTCTGCAGATGGAGTAGGAATGAGAATCAAGTTCTATCAGAATTCAGTTGGTGTCCCCCAACTGAGTGTCCCATTCTTTTGGAAAGGGTGGTAATGGATGAAGCTTAGGGTAGGTGCCTTAAAGAAAACCTGCATTCTTCAGGCCATTTCTGGAGTACCCAGCCCCTCAATTCCAAATCCTACTTTTTTTAAAATGCTAAGTCTTGGATGAACCAGCTTTCTTAGCCCTCTCCCCTCACTTGAATGATATAGCTAGGCACCGAGTCTGTTATCTACTTGGTATCTAATGCATCTTCTACATGAAACATGCATGGCTACAGACAGTAGCTCACTTCCATGCTAGAAGGGCACTGGATTATAAGCCCATATAAATGAGGCTGAGAACTCTTAACTGTTTCTTATTGTAAAGGCTGATCACACTGCTGAAATCCTAGCAAGGTGATGTCTCCTGTGAGCCTTTGGAATACCTTATCTCTGCTGTGAATGTCTTGATGGATTGATGGTGATCAGTTGCAGCTCTGGAACACTTCAGACATCTAAGTTCAAACTCAAGGACAGTCAGGAACAGGCATGGCCTGTCCTGGTGTCCAGTAACTTTGCTGGAACCTGGACTGGTCCAAGCTACTGGTTTGCCCACCATGCCCAGTCTGTTTTCAGGGTTTTCTGTCCTTCCCGGTTCCTGCTGCCGTTAAGCCCCAAAGAAATCACACAGAAATCTACATTAGTTATAAACTGATTGTCACATTAGCTCAGGCTTTTCATTAACTCTTATAACTTATATTAGCCCATTTTTCTTGTCTGAGTTAGCCACATTGCTCGGTACCTTTTCCACATCTTGCTTCTTCTGTGGCAGGCTCAGGACTGCAGAAGACTGAGCTTCCTCCTTCCCATAATTCTCCTGTTCTTATTGATCTGCCTCTACTTCCTGTCTCGTTGTCCTGCCTATTCTTTCTGCCTGGCTACTGGCCAATCAGTGTTTATTTAAAATATAATTGACAGAATATAGACAATTGTCCCACACCACCAGTCAAAGGGTTCTCCCTGCATCTGTAATCCTTCCTGAACCTGGCTCTTCACACTGGATTATCACATGGTCATAGATCTGCTGAGTGTTTTGGTTTGGAATTTAACCCTGAAGGTTTTCAGAGCTGGGGCTCATGAGCCAGGGGCTCGTGGCTATTTGGACAATATCACCAGATGCGTAATTTTGTTCTGTATCATGGGAATTATTGTTTCCCCCTGCCTTTTACTTTACAAGATTTTGCTATATGCTTGGAGCCAAGACTTCATGTGACTGTGTGACTGTAAACATTGCAATATGCTCTTATCTGAACTCAGGACAACTTACTCAAGCCAGAACTGTTACTCCTTCAATTGGAGGAGGCTGGAAACTACCTCCAGGGCCTCATTTCCATACTTGTTCCTCTCTTCCTCTGAGTCCCTCCCATAACTCTTGGGGAAAATTCTTCTGTCTGTGACATTCTTCAAAATCATACAGCACCAAGTTCTGGACCCTTAGTTCAGAATATGTGAAAATCTGAGCTGGGGAAAGAGAAAGGGTGATTGTTCCTTGGTGTGTACAGAGTCAAAACTAAACCAGGTCTTCTCTTGACAGAGGGGAAAGCCAAGACTTGTAACTATATGGGAGCTTTACTGTTTAGAAGGTGGAAGAGCTGGCATCAGGACCTGGCACCGGCCACTCTGCATCAGACCTTCCCTTTATTCATTCCTTCATTAGCCATGTTTGCTCACTGCATTCATACATATCATGAGCAAGGTCAAGGTGAGGGTCTCCAGAAAGCAGACCTGAGTGAGCTCAGTGTAGAAAATCTGGTTGGTCACAGGTTCTCTTGGTCTATGCACAGTGTATGGGAACATAAGCAGGTGTGGTCACCTGTGCCCAGACTTGCTCTTGCATTGAAGATGGAGGCATTCTTTGCAGGTAGCTCTACTTCATTCTTACAGCCATACTGGTTGTCAGTGGAGGAAACTGAGGTGACTCATTGACTCACCCAGGGACTGAGAAGCCCTGAAGGCCCAGTCCTCAGCCTTCTCCATTAGCACACCATTAACATACATTCCTACATGCTTACTTTTCTCAGAAACTTGTCTCTGGTGCTACCCAAGGAGTCACCAGCATCCCCTTTTCCTGCACAATGCCACCTCTGTCCTTGGTGTTGGGTAGAGTGTTGGTTTACTTCTTCATGGTTCTGTTTGATTCTGACTTGACCCTGAGAAATCCTTCTATTTAGGCTAATTTTATCATGAACAGAAACAATTATTGCAAAGGCTCCTGCAAACACTGATCTCCCAGGCTCTTTCCTTATTTTTATTTCTCTGTTTCTCTCCATGTTGTAAACTCTGTGCATGAATGCTGGCACAGGTTTATTAGAAGTAAACTCTCAATCATACCTCTAGGGTTTGTGTGGTGGTTTCATTTGACTGAGAATTTGATAGGAATTTTTTTGGGGGGGTGTTCCTCATGTGTCTCCTGCCTTTTAACCTAACTCTCAGGAAAAGACAAATCTTCAGAGATGGCTTTAGATTGTTCTTGGAGGTGAAGATTGAAACAGCCCAAAGTCAGAGTTGAGACGGGCTGTATGAACCTGAGATGAACGAGTTGGAATGATGCATAATAATAATGATGATAATAATAAGTTTTAATCAATTAAAAGCAGCATTCTCATTGACCAGGCATAGTCATTTAATATTTTTTTAAGATTTACTTATTTATGTATACAGCATTCTGCCTACATGTATGCCTGCAGGACAGAAGAGAAAATCAGATCTCACTATAGATGGTTGTGAGCCACATGCGGTTACAGGGATTTGAACTCAGGACCTCTGGAAGAGCAGCCAGTGCTCTTAACTTCTGAGCCTCTCTCCACCCCCCAGGCATAGTTATTTTAAATACAAGTAGAGAAATAGATTCTGTGGCCAAATGTCATTTTTTGTTGTGGTATCATTTTTGGGTTTTGGTGCTGGGGATGGAGTCCGTGACTGCACAAAGCTCTCCCAAGCCCCTGGTGAGTGCTTTGCATCATGCATTCTACTATCTCAATGCAGGGGTCATGGGGATCAGCTCCTGATGCCTGCAGTTCAAATGCTGGGCTGGGAGGTTACGACTGTTAACTTGACACAACCTATAATCATGTGGGAAAAGAGTTTTAATGAGAAATATCTCTTTAGTATTTCTTTAGTATCCACTGATGTAGGAAGACTCAGCCCACTGTGGGTGACACTGTTCCCCAGGCAGGGTGTCCTGAGCAGTGTGAGAGGAAGAATTCAGCTGTGGGCAAGCAAGGATCCATGAGGTTTTTCTGTCTCTGTTGGGACCATGGATGTGTCCCTTTGCTTTAAGTTACTGCCTTGACTTCACTGCAATAACAGACCACATCTGGAGTTGTGAGCCAATGAAAGCCCTTATTCCTGGAGCTGCTTTATTTAGGGTGTCTATCATAATAACAGAAATGAAGCTAAAACAGATGCTCCAGGTTTTACCCACTCAGGGTCTCAGATCCTTCTCACCCCACCATAACCCAGGATGTCATCACCAGTACTCCCCCTCTGTCCTGAACAGAGGTGAGTCCAGAGAGCTGTGAAACTTTTCTTACATTCTTCTTTGGGAAATATCAGAGGGGGATAGTGGACTTTCTTCACCTGGTCACATAAAACAAGAAATATCCTCTGTGACTGGAAGCGATTCAGCTGAAACTGGGGACACTTAGAGGTCAAATCTGATTTCCTAAAGGAAAAGAAATTGTGGCAATTAGAGCTGAATGAAGTGGGACCTGATGCCACCTTCCTATGAAGGGTTGTGTGGATCTTTTTTTGCACCAGGCTCATCTTGCCCATCTTGTGCCTGATGATCGCACAGTTGGCTGCTGCAGTGGACCAGCCTTCATGGTGAAACACCTCTTGGAGTACACTCAGGCAACAGAGTCTAACCTGCAGTACAGCTTGTTGTTAGTCCTAGGCCTCTTTCTGACAGAAGTTGTATGCTTCTGGTCACTTGAGCTGACTTGGGCATTGAACTACTGAACTGGTGCCCAACATGGGGTGCCAAGTGATGAATATGTGTTTAAAAGAAATCCCACACTAGCTCAGAATTGAAAAATAGTTATTTATTTAGGGATAAACTCACCAATTAGAATTCTCTGCTTAAATGGTGGACAAAGATCAAATCCAGCAATCTAACAATCCAAACAAGCAGCTTACGAATAGGAGGAAAGGGGTGGATGCAGGCTCTGCGTCAGCATATATGGTCTAAGAGGCCGTGCCCCAGTAGGTGGGTACCCACAAGCTGTAAAATTTCCTACAGCAAAAAATTAACGTCTATGTCATAGAATGGTGTTTGAAATTTGCCTGTACATTGAGGAAGTTCTACAGGCTGATACAGTGTTTTGGGAGCAGATGTATCTATTTATGATTTCTTAATAATGATATTTATCTTTAATAAAAGTTAAATTATAAGCAGCATAGTGCGTGTAGGTGGTTCCAACTTACAGCTCTTCTGAAGTTATCCATATTTGTAAGTATGATCTACATTCATCTTTTTTTCATTGATGCTTGTATCTGGATTTTCTTTATTTGGCTTTGATTTTGTATGCTTAGAAAAGTATTGCTGAAGAGTCTTGTTTATTTTTGAAATATAAGAGGACTTCTTGTTTCAATCATATTTTGGAAGCAAAGCTTCAGAACTCAACAGAAATCTGAAAGGCTTTCAGGGCAGTGAGCCTTGGGTGAGCAGAGTGGCGTTCTTGGTAATTATAAATCCAGACAGTAGGCAATCATCCTTTGGAATTTTTTTTTCTCTGGAGTACTTTTCTTTTGTTTAAGCCTAAGGAATTAGCCTTATGAGTTGACTGACTGTGCCTTTGGCATCTTTGATGATTATTTGTTTTTGAGGTTTAGTTTGGATTCTCAATCTCTTAAATAGAAATAAAGTGGATGAACCAGAACTGTCTCCCTTTGATTTTAGCATGTGTCAGTAATCTCATTTTCAGCCCTGGAAACCTCTGCACCCATACTCCACACTACTCATCTCCTCTGTCAGTCTCAGGAACCAAGTTGGAAGCATCAGGGAAGGCCACAAGGCTGTGCACACAAATGCACAGATGCCTGGAGATGGGCATCGTCCAATGGCTCTACTCATTCTCATCTCCACCAGCAACCTTGTCTCTCCATGACAATATGGAGACTGTCTGTGGTCACCTTGAAGGCTGGTCCTGTCCCACCTGCATGCCTGCCCTGTTGCGTCTCCAGCTAGGCTCCCACTGTTATCTCCCATCTGCAGCTCTGGTACCCCGTCTTTTCTAGAACATTCCCTCAGCACACAGCCTGCTTGCCCTCTCTACATAGGCTATCTTCCAGACAGCCCTTCTACAAATCTACCTCTTTTCTCTTTTTCTCTTAGTGCAAAAACTCTTCCATAGAACAGCTTTCGCCATGTTTTCTGTCTCCAGGTTGCTCCCCTCATCCCATTGTATCCTGACCATTCTGGCAGAGTGACCACACCCTCCCTCTGGTAACTACTTCTACCCTAATGGGATGGCAGAATTTAGCCTGCTATTTCTGCCCCTCCAAAGGCTTATCATCTCTGCATTCTTCTGTTTTATGAGAGACACAGTGGTCTGCATTGGATTATTAAGAAGTCAGAGGAGGTGCTAGGGCCATGGTTCGGAGAACACAGTGCTTGCAACATGAGCA